ATATGTCATCATGTTTAATGAATATTAAATATTTGAATTGAACTTTAACCAGATATTTCATCATAAATATTAATGTAGGTCATTTTTTAAAGAAGTAAGGGGGTACAAAATGCAAAAAATTTAAAATTGACTAGTTTTTCCCCTTTCACTGAAGTAGACATTTAACATATGAGAATTTTATCATTTCTCTATCTTTTCCCCCCTCTCTTTCTTTTTTTCTTTCCTTCTTCTTTGTGCTATGTCCCATTAGGACAGAGGTGATTATAGCTCTCCTGTCTTTTGTAATGCTGAATAAATTTGGATTTTTCAATATTTCTCCTCAAACCTGTTATGCTGTCCATTTACTTAAGATTGTCAAGTATTTTATGCACTTTTTTCTTTTCTTCACTGAAACCGAAATGAGTAAACATTGATAAACATGCTCACAATAAGACAGTCAAAAGGATGTTTTTTTTTTCCCCATGAGACCATCTTTTTATCTACCTTCACTCTTTGGCAATGTTTATTGTTTTACAGTGTTGACTAGAATTGGAATAAAACCTAAACATACATTTTCTTTATTCTTTAGAATTTACAGCGAAAATATTAAACACTATAGAGGTATGGATTTAATCAAAATAAAATGGTGTGGTGAATATATTTGAAAAAAATTAATAAAAATTGTTTAAAATTTAATTTTGTATCTGAAACAGATTTGTTGGGTGTGGGAACCTTTTTATTATTATAAACAAAAATAAAATAACGAAAATTATAAATAAAATTTAAATCTGGTTTAAAGTAAACAAAAATAAATAAAATTAATAAAGTTACACCCAGCATGCAACAGGGACTGTTCCTGCCAGAAATATGGACATCCCCTCCCCCAAGAGATGTGTGATTTAATTTCTTTGTCCAAGGAATGTCGTGATGAGAACACATGTGCAATTTCCCTCTGTGATAGGACTTGTGATATTACAGAGTGATTTACTCCCTTCTATAACATGAACATTATCACAGTTGTAACATAAAAGCTATATCAAACTTACAGCTTTTTTTTCGTCTGTGAATCTCTGCATTAGCAAGGAGGAACTCAGGATTGTTTCACCGAAAAATAAAGGTTTTGATTGGCAAGGTTGAAATTAACTCTTTTAAATATAGGCGGTTTCAAATCTATATTTTTGATGGGCATACGGGCTTGGATAACCCACATTAAACTCAGTCTTTGTGCCAAAAAAGGGCAGCTAAATATAGTTGTAACATAAAACACTGTTGTAGGATACCTACAGATAATAATGTGTATGTCCCCATTCACATAAATACAGTAGTAAATACTGTATGTTGGTCTACAATTGGAGATTTGTCTCCAGCTATGCTGCTCAAACTCTCTGCCCAGAGGCAGAGAGGTTCTCAAATCAGGTTATGTCAAAGAGCAGTGTCTCGTCTTGGGGAAACAGCTACCCGACCCCATTTTATACGGGATCTACAGGAAATTTTTGGTCAATACTGGTTTGGATACCCCACATTAAATTTAGCCTTGTGCCACATCTGTCTACATGGGGCAGTTGGTAGATATCTTGCCGTTGGAGATTCATTGTGGAATTCACTTGACTCACTTCTAGCAGTTGAATACTACTTCTACGCACCACTGGTGAATCTCATATGTGTTGTTCTTGTCCTAAGTATTATCATTCATTACTAATGTTTGTGTGATTATTCAGTAACCTTCTCTAGGTTACAACATTTTGGCGATAATATAGCCAAAATTACAACAAACACACACAAATATATAAATAAAATTGTATGAAATTACCATAGAATTTACCATGTTTTTTATTGTTATTGTATATGTTTCTTTGTACTGTTTTTCCTCGTGAACACAAAGCCCAAATTTATGACCACATGGTGTGAGTGAATATATCTCCACAACTTTATGGTGACCACAGTTGTGTCCAAGAAAAACATACAAAAACCTTCATAAGAGGCATTATTATAAATAAATAAAATATAAAATAATAATAAAAATTAAAATTATATTAAAACAGTAACATTAATAACTTCTATAAAATATCAGGTCATCCCATAAGTTCTGTCCGAATTTTGAATAAAGAAAACAAGTGACCAAATGTTACATTTAATTACAGACTCAATCAACAATGTATTTTCCCTGATTATCTATGACTTCCTTCCATCTATTAACAAGCTTACTAATTCCATTACTGTAAAATTCTTTTGGCTTTGATTCAAAGAACTCACAAATGTCAGTTTTAACCTCTTCCTGTGTTACAAAAGCTGTTTCTTCCAAATGATTCTGTAAGCTACGAAACAAATGGTAGTCTGAAGGAGCAAGATCGGGAGAATAAAGTGGATGAGGAATTTTCTCCCAACCAAGTTCTTTGATCTTTTGTGACATGATTATTGCTGTGTGGGGTCTCGCATTATCCTGATGAAACATCACCTCTTTTTGATTCACTAGAGCAGGTCTTTTTTTCCTCAAAGCTTGGTTCAAATGCTCTAATTGCTGACAGTATATTTGAGCATTAATTGTTGCATTAGGTGGTAAGAATTCAAAGTGGATTATTCCTTGGCGATCCCACCAGATTGAAAGAACCTTTTGCCCATGAAGTTCCCTTCTTGGCTGGGGTCCTTCCCCTTTACCAAGCCACTGTCTACAATGCTTAACATTTTGATAAAAGATCGATTTTTCATCGCCAGTCACAAGTCTATCCAAAAAAGGTGAAACAAGTTGGCGAGAATGGAGAGAAGAGCAGAGGTCAACTCAGGATTTGAGGTTGTTTTCAGACAATTCATGAAGCACCCATTTTCCAAGTTTAGGAAATTTTCCAAGTTGTTGAAGATGGCAATGAACAGTTGTATGGTATGAACTGAGAACCACTGCCAATTCCTCAACTGATAAAGCAGTATTTTCTTCAAGGGCTGCTTCAAGAAGCTTTTCATCAAACTCAACTGGACGTCCGGTTCGATCTTCATCTTCAAGGGTGAAATCTCCACCTCTGAATTTTGCAAACCATCTTCTGCAAGTTCTTTCATTCACACATTCCTCTCCATAAACTGAGTGAATGTTTCTAGCCGCTTCGGCTGCTGAGTTTCCTTTCTTGAACTCATAAAGCATTATGTGCCTCAAATGATTCTTGGGTACTTCCATGTTAGCAGGGTTTTAATCAAACAAAATTTAATTTTATTGTTCTCTGAAATAAAATTTGATCAGTTTAAATGCATGTCATGATAAAAATAATGTTCTGCTCCATTAGATATTATAAAATACTCTTTAAATTTCATTCATTTTAACAAAAAGTTAAAATTTGGACAGAACTTATGGGATGACCTGATAAATAAAAAATAGAAATAAAAAAGTTTTTCCAGCATGCAGAAGTTAAATTCAATCTTTTTGCTAATAGCCTTTGGACAGTCAACGTGTGTCTCAGCTTCTCTCTCTGCTTGTAATATGAAGGACTTCTTTCTTTTATTACAAGCAACCATAAAGCACTTTTACCCCAAAATACATATACATAAATACAAATAAATTGTATGTTATCAATGTACAATTTAAGATGCCTTTATTATTATCTCTGTGTATGTTTTCATTCTGTGAAGTATGTTTTTCTTTCCTGTGAACACAAGGCTATTTCTCTTGCTATGATGTGAGTGACCATACATCATTAGGTCACTCTGACATCCAAAAAACATACTACCCACAGATTGCTAAATTTGACTCCTTAGAAGTTTGGAGGCTAAAGGGTTAATATGAATTTGATTGTTCTTTCTTTTTTTTTTTTTTTTTTTTTTTTTTAATCAATTCACCCCAAGCAAGGCAATAATGCCACTAAGACACAAGGGGGCTACTGGAAGTGAAAGAGAATGAAAAGACTTTAAAAGGACTGGAATTCCAATATAAATTTCAGTTTAGGTGGAAACGTTAGAAGTTATAGTGACATTATACGTTATAGAGTAAATAAGGGATAAATCTCTACTATTCAAAAGACTGAGGAGGAGTGTGAACCGGATGACAGACAAACCTATCCACTTCTGTTGTTGAAAAATAAATAAATAAGATGTATCAGAAAAATTATAAAAATAGTAAGATATATTAGAAAATCATTATCTCCAAAAAATTTCTATAATCCAAAAATATTTTGCATTTAAATAACCAGAAAAAGCTTAAGCCATTAAGAATATATCAATCAAATCAATAAAAAAAAAAGCTAAACAGTCATTTTGTTATCATTTTCATCATCTGCTAAAGAAGTAGAAACAAGTGGCAGATAATTCGAATTTTAATTTCGCCAGTTACAGTTTGTGCTCATGGCTCTGCGGGTTTATTTGCTTGGAAAATATCTTGTGCCTTTTATAAGAAGCTTAGAAAAAAGAAGACAATAGAAAATCTGCTTGAGAATAGAAGTCTTCAGTAGCCTTGAGAAAAATATTATGAAGATGTATAAGATTTTATGGTCGTTTCATGTCTGTCGCCTGGGAATAAAGAGAAAAGATATTAGGGACATTTTACTGCCTTTTGTTCAAAGAAATAAAATTAATTTTCATTCTAATTTGAGCCGATTGTTTTCGGTTACATATTCTTTTATTTTTTGGCCCCCAAAAAGAAAAGGCACATCTTTGCCATATCCTTTGTTCATTGAAAGAAAATGAAGGCAGAAAGGAAAATGGAGAGGCAAGGAGTGTGAAGAACAGGAACAAGAGAGGAGAAAAATAGGTAACTATTTTTGTCTTGGGTAAAAAAAAAGGAATAAATTAGCAAAAATAAAAATCTTGGAAGACTATTGTTACTCCAAAACATTGTTTGCTGTTGTTCATATTGAAGAAAAAAGAAAAGCGGAAAGAGTGGTTTTTTTTTTTTTTTTTTAAATTTTCACTACAGCCTTAACTACTGTTAATATAATAGAGAAAAAAAGATTTTATGGTTGTCCCATTGACTTTTCAGTCTGTGAGTGTGTCTTTGTTTCTCATTCACTTGTTCTATCAATTCCTCCACCACCACCTCTTCTCAGTTGTTCCCTTCCTTCTCTTTCTGTCCCACCTCCTCCTCATCTTTTCTCTCTCTCTCTCTGTCCTTCCTCTTCTCTCTCTCTCTCTGTCCTTCCTCTTCTCTCTCTCTCTCTGTCCTTCCTCTTCTCTCTCTGTCCTTCCTCTTCTCTCTCTGTCCTTCTCTCTCTCTTCCTCTTTCTCTCTGTCCTTCCTCTTCTCTCTGTCCTTCCTCTCTCTCTCTGTCCTTCCCTTCTCTCTCCTTCCTCCTCTTCTCTCTCTGTCCTTCCTCTTCTCTCTCTGTCCTTCCTCTTCTCTCTCTGTCCTTCCTCTTCTCTCTCTGTCCTTTCTTCTCTCTTATTTCTCTCTCTCTGTCCTTCCCTTCATCCTCTGTCCTTCCTCTTCTCTCTGTCTCTTCCTTCCTCTTTCTTTCTCTTTCATTCAATCCATATCCTCTTCTTTCAGTGCATCCTGTCTGTTCCTCTTTTTTCTTTCATTCAATCCATATCCTCTTCCAGTGCATTTCTTCTTTTTCTCCTTCTGTGCTCTTCCCCTCTTCTCCTTCTGTGCTCCTCTCCTCCTCCCTCTGCACTTCTCAGCTCCTCTCTCTGCACACATCTCTCTCTCGCTAGTTCTGCATTCTTTGTCCTTTCTCCTTTTCTCTCTCATTCTGTGCACTCCTTACGCTCCTCTTCTCTCTCCCCACTCTTCATGGTGTTGTTAACATAATAAAGAGAAAAAGATTTTTATATTCATTCTTTTTCTCCCAGGGGCACCTAACCTAATGCAATGATTTCAGGTGAACCCCATTTAGAACCTGAATCAAATCTTGTGTTGATTCATCGACTTGAATTAACTTCTTCAATGCCACTGACCAGACATGTCAGACTTTGGCGGCAACAATAAGGCAACTATTTTATTACGGAGTTTATTGCATTTCCCAAAATTAAAAAGGTCACTGATAGATTTTTTTTGTTGTGTCATTTTCTCTCTTTTTCCACTGGTTTTATTGCTCTATTGTTTTCTGGTTTTGTTTTCAATAAATTTCGGCCAATATATTTTCCAGCTGTTTCATGTGTTGATTGCATTTTGTGATCTTCAGTAAATTTATTGCTTTGTTTTTCTTTTTCATCATAGCATTATATTAAGTGAACCACAGGACTGGGTGTTAATATTTTGTGTTTTGAGTGAATATCCTTACTGATTTTGTATTCATTCCTTTTTTCTTTATTTTGTTTGTCTTTTGCTTCACTGCTCTTGTTTCACTCTTATGTTTTTTTATTGTTTTGTTTTTGTTCTACTGCTGCTGTTTTTTCTTTTGCTGCTGCTAGCGTAGTTGTTTTTTATTTTGCTGCTATTGTTGTATTTTTTGTGTGTATAGTTTTTACCTTTTTGGGGGTTTGTTTTATACAATCCAAACTATTCAGTAATGTCACAGACTATAGGTGCATAGTTCTCCCATTGGAATCAGCTAAGAAAAAAATGAAATAAAATAAAGCTCTTATAAGTCAATATTTTTTCTGTTAAAAAGCTCTAAAAACTTGACCTTTCATTTATCACTATACAAAAAATTTTATTCACTGCAGAGACATTGTCATTCACTAACAATCAGCTTAATTGTATACAATGCTCATACCATGATTCTGAAATGCAAAACCTCGAAATGGCAATAATACATCTTTTAAACAATACCTCTAACCACTACACTACAGTTGCAAATGCGCATTAAACTGACCTCATATCACATCCTGCCAGCATGTGGTGAAAAGAAAATAGAATCATTTTTCAGCCTTTTGGCTAAGATCAAAGTGTAGTATCTGTTATCAGTTTAATCTGATTCTCTCTATTTCTATCTTCCCTTCTTTTTTTCTTTCATTTTCTCAATGAAATGAGTTAGTGTCTTTTAACTCCCTTTCCATATTTATTTATTTATGGGCAATTGGCAGGGTGTAACGGTCATGCAAACTAACAAAGGGAGGGACAAGTGCAGTTATAATAGAATAGTTGTTTACATAACCGGACTTGCCTAAAAGAAACCCAGCAATATCTGTGAATTGCTAACCCGTCTCAACTCCTTTTGACAGTTGAATGAATCAACGTAAGCAAACATTTTGTTGATAATCTCACTATAATTCTGCTTGCCTCTCCTTTAGTTCCTTAGTATTGTGGTAAACCCTCTTACAGTAGAATGAACTCTTCCTCCTCTCATAAATACTAACTGCAATGAGTCGGTTGGGGAGCGTAGACGCAGTGTTAACCTACCATTCAGACGTACACCTGTGTCTGCTTATTACTAACACTCTTGCTTTGTATGTATCTGTTATTTTCAATACACTTGTTCAACCTACCTTCGTCTTCTGTATCTTTGTTTCTGGCCCCTAAACAAGCCACAACAATTAGCACAGCCATTATACCCTGTCAGTACCTCATAAGTAATGTAGCATTCCATTTTGATTACATGGAAAGACAGGAAAGACATATTGAATTTATATGCCTTGAAGACTACCAGAGAAATAATAGCAAATATATTTAACTAATTATAGTTTACAACAAGACATATCAGAGATGCTACTTCATTTTAGTGTAAAAAAAGAAATATCTTTCCAATACCGCATGGATAATAGGCCATTTTGACTGCAAGGATAAGTGATGAACTATTCCATTTTGATCATATGGAAAGATGGAAAAGCCATATCAGAGATCCTACTTGGCTTTCCTTTCTTTTTCTTGGAACAGAATTCACACAGGAAGGACATGAAATTTTCACAAGTACTATTAGTAATTTTGATTTTTTTTTTTTTTTTTTTTTTTTTTTTTTTGAGCCAAACAGAATTGCATCTAGAATTTGTTATCTTGTCTATTTGGTTGGTGCACAAACGAACATTTTGTACAAATTTGTTTTGTAAATTTGTATTTGCCTCACTTTGATCTTTTTGAATACAAATCTCAAATAATGATTAAAGACCCTTTATATGATTGATATAAAAGTTCAATTTAAAAGAGTTGTTTAACACACTATATGAGGCTATTTTTTATTTTCATCAAAATCACCCCATGCAAGGCAGTAAAGCCACTAAGACACAAGGGGTTACTGGGTATGAAAGAATTACATAACAAAAGCATTATTGTGGAGCAAGAACAATAGAAGATTAATAAGGTAGACAGTAGATATTGCATTTAAATTTTTGAAGATCAAACCTAACTGGAAAGCTAGAAGCCAGAAGAGAGTTCCACAAGCAAGAAGTGCGAGAAAAGAAACTGTTAACATAGAACTTACGGTTATGTTGGGGCCACCCACCTTCTCATCAGAATGGACTGATCTCTCTACTACTAATAGGACAGTTCTATAGAGTTTTGGGGAGATCAGGTGACCATCACATTTCCGTCTCTCTACCGGAAGATACAGTTGGACTTTATACTCTTTCTGATTGTTACTGACTAACCTGCGTTCGTTTGACTAATCTCTCTGTTGTAAATACCTCTTCAGATATACCAGTATTTTTCCCTACGTATGTGTTTGTCCTTATTTTAATACACGCACGGGGAAACACTCAACATCTCAACAGGTTACATGTAGCCATTTCAAATGTAAATTTCAATGTGTTGCTAATCTAGTACTGCAATTAAACTCATACAGTTTCGGTACCATAGAGAGAAGATTAGTCGAACAATTACCATGACAGTATTTATAGAAAAGGCACGGGGAAGCTATGTTATGGTGGTGGGAAAGTGACTGAAGCCAAGATGCCAGGTCAAGACCAGCAATATTGCAGATGTATTTTTATTATAGTTAAAAAAAAAATGTATTTTTATTATAGTTAAAAAAAAAAATGTATTTTTATTATAGTTAAAAAAAAAAATGTATTTTTATTATAGTTGAAAAAAAAAAAAAAATGTATTTTTATTATAGTTAAAAAAAAAAATGTATTTTTATTATAGTTAAAAAAAAAAAATGTATTTTTATTATAAAAAAAAAAAAAAAATGTATTTTATTATAGTTAAAAAAAATGTATTTTTATTATAGTTAAAAAAAATGTATTTTTATTATAGGAAATTTGTTTTTATTATAAAAACTTTCGTTTATTAGAGAAAATATTTTTTGTTAAAGCAACCTTTTTTTATGATAGAAAACTGTTTTTCATAGGAAATTAATTTTTATAGAAAGTGTTTCTGATAGCATACTGGTGGAAAAGTATAATACAGTTTATATATGCAATATTTTACTTGAAACAAAACAAGCAAACCCCTCTGACAGGCAATATTCTACTGATCAAAACTGTTAAACTTTGAACTGCTGATGATGATGAAAATTTCTGTCATTGTCGTTAAATGACTCACTTGTGAATGACAGATATTTCAACCTCATTTAATGTGTTAAATCTTAAAAGGTCTCTTTTGAATTCTGGCTTGAATTTCTGGGATGAGGACTTATGATTATTTACACTATTCACAAGCAGACTATTATCCTCATCTTTGTTGTTGTTATTGCATTTGGGCCATTCTGCTCCACACCCTTCTTTTGGCTATATGTCGATCACTTATTATCTGTATAACAATTCTGCTTGTCCCTTACTTTGCTAGTTTGCACAACCATTATGCCCTGCCAATACCTCATAAATAATGAACTATTCTGTTTTGATTATGTAGAAAGAAGGTAAAGAACACTACTTGGTTTCAGTAAGAAAATGTAAGCAAGAAAGAAGGGAAGTTAGAAGTGTTTAACGGCTGTTTCCGTGAAATGAAAAAAGTTGTCAATTTTAAATCTTTTCATTTGTATCCTCTTACTTCTTAAAATAACAACCAGCATTCATATTTATGATTGTTATTGCAATATTTAACAATGCGATACAGGAATTTCTATGGATATTTTATTATCATAGAACTCACCATAAGTTTCTTCACTCAACTTAAGAATTAAAATTTCTTCCTAGTGGGTTGACTATTTCCATTAGAAATCTTCTCTGAGAGTTAACATGCTAATCTTTTCATTTGTACCCCCTTACTTCTTAAAATAATAACCAGCATTTTTATTTATGACTGTTATTGCAATATTTTGTTAAAGTTGTTAAGCTCAAATATTTAATGATACAATAGGGGAATTTCTATGGATATTTTATTGTCGCAGAACTCACCATCAGCTTATTCAGTCATTAACTGAAGAATTAAGATTCATCAGAAAATTCAAATAGGTATATCATGTAATTTTCACAGCTCTTTTTCCATGTTTTCCTTTTATGTTGTTTCTGAAAGAAAGAAGGGAAGCTAGAATGTGGGGGGGGGAGAGAATCAGAGTAAGCTGATGAGAACAGATACTACATTTTGATCTTGGGCAAAAGCCCTAGAAGGGAGGTACAAGCAGAATGATATGTACTTTTATGATCAATATTTATGCAATATTTTGTTAAAGTTGTTATGCTCAAATATTTAATGTGAGATGGGAATTTCTATGGATATTTTATTGTCATAAAACTTACATGACTATTTGATCGTTAACCAAAGAATTATGATTCATCAGAATATTAAAACTAGTATATATAAAACTATCTCGATAAAAACACGAACCAAGGCTATTAAGAACAACAACAACAAAGGACGACAATAGTGTAATTAATAATAATTCCATGTCCTAGAA